CCCCGCCGCCGTCCTGCCCTCCCCTCCCCTCCCGCGGCTGCGGGACGCGGTCCTTCCTGCTGCAGAGGTGCCGAGCGCTTGCGTTTCCTCCTGACCTTGAGAACTGCCCCTCCTGCCTCTTTTATGGTCGCGTGATAAAAGCTGGGCGAGGGTGGGAAACCTGAAGTGGTTCTTTCTGAAGAATCAGCTTTAACTGCTAGTTAGCTCATGATGCCTGTATAACTGATCAGTATATCCCGTGCTGAATCTTGTTGTGTGTCCTGTTCTTAACATTTGGATTTCCTCTTATCCTGCATGTTCTTTTTTAGAGAAAGTAAGGAAGACACAAACTTAGCCTGTAACGCCTCTTGCAGGCACATAAACAGGCCCCAAGTCTGCCAGAGATGTATCTGCTGGTACAGCAATAGGAAGCAGTTAAACTACTGAGTATTCTTCCAAGTGACAGTACTAGGAAGGAAGATGATACTTTGCTCCAGTTAAAAACTAGTAACAACCTCAGTGCAGCTGTAGGTATACTGGTAAAAGAGTACTTTGTCTAGTGAGCCATTAAGAAATCTGTAGATGCAGTAGTAGAAAGAGTGTTTGGGGTTTTTTTGTCTGTGTAAGGTGTGATCACTGGGGAGTGGAGGAGGGCTTCCTGACTTGAAGACATTAACAAAACCTTTGCAACTGAGACAACCATAGTGCCTCTCAAGTCCTAAATGGTTTCTGCAGCATCTGAAGTGGGTTTTAGGTTATGGTTGTACTTGATGATCTTCAAGGTCCCTACCAACCAGGATGATTCTATGAAGTATTTATGTACTGAAAGAGTTGTTGGACAGTGCCCAGGGAGGTGTTGGAGTCACCATCCCTGGAGGTATTTAAAATAAATGCAGATGTAGTGCTAAGCAACGTGATTTAAGCACTGAACGGGTAAGTTAGGTTATGGTAGGGGGATTTAGGTTATGGCTGGACTTGATAATCTTCAAGGTCCCTGCCAACCAGGATGATTCTACGATCCTCTGGTAAGTGAGGGATGCTGTATTTCCCACAGAGCACTGGGAAGCATGTCGCAAAGCACAGAACTTCCATTGTGTTTTTTCCAGTTATCTTTTGGTTTCTTGGCTGACAGGTGGACTCGACCCAGATTTGAAAGCTGCCTACAACTCTTTCATGAAGTCATGTGAGAAGGGAGGGAAGAAGTCAGCCAACGCGTGCCATAACATTGGGCTGCTGGCCCATGATGGGAGAATAAACGATGATAAACCCGACCCTGTTGTCGCTAGAGACTATTACACAAAAGCCTGTGATGGCAACTTTGCTCCTAGCTGCTTCAACCTCAGTGTTATATACCTGCAAGGAGCACCTGGGGTCCCTAAGGACATGAACCATGCTCTAAAGTACTCCCTGAAAGGGTGTGAGCTGGGTCACATATGGGCCTGTGCCAACGCCAGTCGAATGTACAAGCTGGGAGATGGCATTGAGAAGAATGATGCTAAGGCAGAGGATTTGAAAAACAGGGCAAAAAAGTTGCATAGAGAACAGAAAGAAGCCCCATATTCTATAACACTTGGGGAATAAGACTGTCAGGTGCAGTTACTAAGACTGCAGTTTTAAATGGCAAGTGAACTTGTTATTTAAATGGTGAACATACAGATTTTGCTTACAACAAAGAAATATCCTGTAAGTATTTGCGTATGCAAATAAACTTGTACTTTTGTGGATATAAAAAACTACTAACTCTGGTGTGCCTTTCTACATTTTTGAATGCACAAGTTCCTAAGTATATTGCTCAGATCCCTCCTCTCCTTTAAAGAACACGAAACTTAGGGCCTGTTGGAGGTTTGTCCCCGTGGTTTCAGACAAAAGGCTCTCTCTTTTGTCTAGCACTTCAGTGTCAAGGCCTGTGCTCAGAGCAATTCACACAACTCACAGTTGCAGGGTATCCCAAACTCAGGTGTTCAGATCTGTGCCATTTCTCTTACAGCTGTTGAACATGGACAGTGTGCACACTTGAGTGATCTGCCCTAAGGCTGCTTTGTACCAGGATGGCTTGAGAAACTTGATAAGGTTTATTTGCTCAAGGTAACATTTGTTATACTTAAAGCTGTATTTGGATTTGCTTGTTTAGATATATTCTGCCATTTTAACATCCAAATGGCACTTGTAGGTAGGAGAAAAAAAAGATACTACTTTTTATAGGGAGAAATAATAATTTGACATCTTGCTGATGTTTAGATTAAATATTTAATGTCATCACTTAATTTGAGAATTTGTCATTTCTCAATTCAATCTGTAAGTTTTACAGGCTGTTAGTATAATTATTTCATTTGTGCAAATGCTTATTATGGAGTTCTTTTGTACACTTTGATTTTACAAATAATTAAGCATTCAGTTGGAGCCAAGTTTTATGTGTATAAACATATGCAAAGTTTGTGATGTGTGTGTGTGTTTTGCTGCAAATTTGGTGCTGATTTAGAACATGCTCTCTGTGGTCTGAATAAAGATACAAACTTACTATTGAATTTAATCAGGTGGGAGAAAAAAAACAACACGAACTCGGGCATTGCCACAGTTGAAAGCAGAATTGTTAGAATCTGCTGTCTCCACGCGGAGCACGTATGAATTAAAGCAGTGATTCCAACTTAACTGCCCTTCTGACAGCCCTCTTGGAAGGAACGTGCTTAGTGCTGGAATGAAAACCCCCGCAGCACAGCGGTGAGAGGGACACACTGTCACCGCAGGTGGCAGCACATGCAAACATCCCAGCCTGCCTTTCCTGGAGGGCCCACGGCTCTTGTTTTCAGCAGCCTGAAAAAAAAAAAAAACAACAACAAAAATTGCAGTGGTGACAAAAATGAGATTATTTTTTCTGTTACCATGGATTATATTTTATGGCAGTTCAAGAAGGTAAAGCTCTTCTAGAGAAACTCACTTGGGAAAGGTAAGCGCTCCCTCCATGGAGCGTAGCAGCCCAGTCATCAGAGTTTGGAAGCTGTGTGTGCAGGTGGCTCAAGGTGTTGGAGAATTCGGTGACATTTTGAGCCCTGATCTTTGTTTTTTGAGCTTGTAATGCTCCTGCCTCCAAGTGGCTTGTTCAGATCCTCAGTCTAAATGAACCTGCAGGCTTTCTTCCACCAGGAGTAATGACTGCCAGCGATCCCCAGGGAACTTCCAGCCGACACAGCAAATGGGCAACTGGGAACATCCTTGATAACTGTGACACACGTTGCAGATAATTAAAGCCACATGAAGTGCATGTTGCAGGGAGGCTGTTTCATAGCACTTGAGAACTCAGAGACTTGCAGAGTTTAAGTATTATAAAATGAGCAATTCTCATAAAAGCTGTTAAGTGTGTTGGTACGGATTAGTTTATGAAGTATCATCCAATTTTGTATCACTGGTGGAAAAGGCAAACTCAAATGAAGGAATGCTCTTCTGTTATACTAAAACACAATCCAAACCAGTGGCAAGTGTTTTCAGGCTGTCTGTGAACAGGTTGCTGCCTGTCTTAGAATAGAATAAAACCACCTATCTTTTATCACATACAGTGATGATGTAGCAGATGTATTAGATGCGTAAGGCCCTCTCCTATTTGACTATTTTCCCTCCAAAGTGACAAAGCATTAAAAAAAACAACAACAAAAAAAAACCACGAAGAAATGATCAGCCAGTTTCATTTCAACACACTGTAAATTTGATGTGGTTAATGCAGTCTGTAGCAGAGACTACAGACTCTACTAATAGCAGGCTGTGCTCAGTGTCTGTTCAGGAGATGTAATCAAAATCTGTAAGAGGTGAAAATTGCACTGCAAATCTTGGCTTATAAACATCTTGCTCTGCTATTATGAGGGTATTACCAAAAAGCTGATGGCTTCCTGCTCTTTCTTTTTACTTGATGTCAGAAAGGCTATATTTTATGTCCTCTTGGGAAGAAAATTGTTCCTCCAAAGCCTCTGAGGTCATAAAGAAAGAGTGATAAGATATGTGATCATAATAGCATACGTGGAGATAGGGAAGACCTGTTGATCTCTTCAGGATTAGTGGATTGTCTAAGAAATAAAAGAGCTTCACAGCTCCTGAGCCACTGTCTGATTTCTCTTCCATTTGTATTGTCCTTAGCATACAGCTGCCCTCTAATAAAGCAGCAACGTGCTTCAGAAGGAATGCTGAGCAACTCTAATTAATTAAATAGACTTATGAATACATGGCTCTGAATGATGAAAGCATTCGCTCCACGATGCTTTCTGCAGCTGTGAAAAGATCACCAGAGGAATGCTGGTTTTGTTCTGAGATGGGAACAACACTGACACTCCATCACGTGTTGTTGCATGTAATTTAGATTAATTCTGGACAAAAGAGGCTGTCGATAGCAGAACCCCATGACGTAGAAACTGAAAACCAGGCTTGTGGTGGTGGTTCCATTCCTGTATTACATTGTCATAAAATTAGCTCTTCTTCAGCTGTCAGTGACAACTTCTCTCTGCAATGTATGTGTGAAGGCAGGTCTTGTAGCTGAACACACCTGCCTAGATGGACAGTCTGGGAGACTTCATATGTGTCATCGCCACACCAGGAAAGCAAAGCAAAGTGAGCCTTGTTACAGGGCAGGCTTTGTTCAGTGCAAAAAGAATTTCACTCTATCTGCAATTTTTCATTTCATCATGTGAGAGAGAACTCTCCCAGGTAGCTCTTCTCCTCCTTTGGTAGATGGAGAAGGAAGAATTCTTCCTTTCCTTCTGCTTCACAGCTTCTCACCCACTGGACCTCAGCCTGAGACAGTTCTGCTCACAGTTGGGCTTTTTTGGGGGTGAAGCAAGAAGGTAGAGGGAGGAAAAGGAGTCATAGCACAGCAAGAAACAGATCAGAAAATAAGTAAGAGCTGTATTATTATTGCAATAGTTTGTGCTGGGTTAACACCCAAGGATTCAATTCAGGTCCTAATTTTAGGCCATTTGTGTGCACCCATAATGACACCCCCAGTCCAGAGACCCTCAGTCTAAGATTCAGGATTGTACAAAGTCCTTAGTATATATTTCAGTATCAAACACTAGAATCCTGCTTGGATTTTCCACACACCGCACCAACAATATAGCCCAGAATCCACACACAAAGAAAAAGATTTTTCCAAGACAAGACTTCATTCTGGGCCAAATTTTTGATGTCTAATTTCACATGCCTTCTCTGTAGCCTCCCAGTGCTTTCATTTTTCAGTATCCACACTTGAAACAAACACAATAACCGAAACCACAATAATTACACTTATTTCATTCTATATCACATTTCTAATCACTTTTTATTGACCTTTACTCTTAGTTACAATTAACAATGGTGTATTTGTTCCAAATATGATGTTTTATACTTCTTAAGTATACACTTTGTTTTACAGTCTTGTTTGTAATATGGTTTTGTAGTATAGTCTCTTCTGTAATTCCTTTTTCCCCCTAGGTCAACTAGGAAGAAATTTGTGTGATATGCAATTATAAAATTAAGGCCACTTTGGAGTGGTGGTTTCAGATGAGGATTTCTGAATAGCACAAGCACAATGTACACATATGCTCCAATTCATGAGTATGGTGGGAGTTCTCTGCAAGATCTCATTCTGTCTGTGCAAAACTGAAATCCAGTGCTTCAAGCATAATCTGGAGAGTTTTTCTCAGCTACTGAGAGGCTTCTGGTAAAAGAGAAGACAGAAAGAAGTAGCAGCACTTGTCACCCTCAGCATTCTAGTGCACTTCACCCGGTGAGTCACAAGAAACACAGAGTTGCTTTCCAGATCACAGCCCTTACAGAGCTGGGCTAAGAAAGCCATTGAAGAAAAATGTTTGGCCATGATGCAATTTCATAACTTGCAAAGGAGGCTAATCTGCATTTGTTAGAAGCTCCTTAGCCTGATAGTCTTCGTTTGGCATGGCCAGCAGGGCCAGGGAGGGGATTCTGCCCCTCTGCTCTGCTCTGGGGAGGCCCCACCTGGAATAGTCTGTACAGTTCTGGGCCCCTCAGCACAAGAAAGATATAGAGCTGTTGGAGAGGGCCCAGAGAAGGGCCACCAAGATGATCAAAGGCCTGGAGCACCTCTGCTATGAAGACAGGCTGAGAGAGTTGGGGCTGTTCAGCCTGGAGAAGAGAAGGCTCCAGGGAGACCTTCTAGTGGCCCTGCAGTACCTGAAGGGGCTACAGGAACACCACACCATGGTATTTTTGATGAACAGACACTGGCCCTCAAAGAGATTATATACCATTTGAGGTTAAAAGCTTTAGATCTTTTTGAAACTCTGAGCTTATTTCAAATTATTTTCTGGTGGGTTTTGTGAATTTTACACATTCCTCAGAGCCCAGGGCCTGATACCAGAGGATGCTGGGGACTGACATGGTTGCAAAAGCCACAGAATGTGAACAGATTCAATCTGGGGGATGGTTTCTAGAGGAGCAGCACAAAGTTTTTGTTACAGCAAGCACTAAAAAGCCATTTAACAAAAATGTCTCTGCAGTGTACTTGGCTTTGTAATTTCTCTTTTCTGTGTATTACAGCATGAAACACTTGAGTGTGATGTTTGCTGACTGCTCTGCCCACTGCTCCC